CCACCCCGACTGTATGTATTGACGACTAAAACCTAGAGACATAGAGCCCCAGCAAGGAGAGGGAGGGGGGGGGGGGGGGGGGGGTGATTCTCAGCCCTAAACATGATGTCCCAAAGAGATCGCCCGCAAGAACATGCCGCTGAAGGGGCCAGATTAGTTTAAAAATTATTTTTTATGAAGTAATATTATAGATTAACCGGGGGAAAATTCCTTTTCTATTTATTTAAACAACTTTGCCGTTAAGCTAGGATTTTAAATCTAGCTAATTCACGGGTTCGAAAACAAACCTTGGGATTCCCGGAGCAGCAGAAGCAGCAATGGTGGGCAGGTCCTCCATAGCTAAAACCTCGCCTGTCGACAGCACACATCCCTCTATAACTTCTTCTTGCCCCTCCTCACCCTCCCCGCTGCGAGACTCTGTAGCTGTGGTCTTAGTAATCCGGACGATTTCTACCTTCTCGCATCGCGTTCCCAGCATCTTTTTCAGCACCGGCCCCATCTCCTCGAGAACGGCGCCCTCATCAAACGGCAATCTCCTACCTAGCCTAACGGCCATCTCGACATTCTTGTCCGTTTCGTCCCCGGCCTGGTCATCCCCGCCGACGCCCACACCGTCGCTCTCTGCCGCGCCGTCGAGGCGTTTCTTGAGCTGTTGGATGAACGGCATGGCGCGCTTTGTTTCCGTCTTCCCAATGCTCTTCCCGATGGCGTCCGTGTCCACCAGGCCTGTCTCTTTCAATGCAGCAGTCACGAGGTCGATACAGCGTTCCTGCCACGCGGGAAGGGATTTAGTGAAGAAGATGCGAAGGCGGAATGGCGACGAACGAGGGTCGAAAACGGTACGGGGACCCGAGCTGGCGCTGGCACTTTTTTTGCTGCTCTTTACCAGCCTCTTGACTAGCTGGCCCAACGCCGCTGTCACGGCTGACGACGTTGTTTGCTCGTAATCCGCCGTTGCCTGCAGGGCCTTGTTAGGCCTGGGGCAATCGTTTGGCCAACTTGCCACTTGGATGCTGTGCTTGTGCCCCAGCACCTCGGTCCACACGTACTCGCACCAATGCGGCGCCACGGGGGCCAGAAGCAGGCACTGCAGCTCTGCATATCGGCGCACCAGTTTCGAATGCATACCCATAGCCCCAACAGCATCGCGGTACACATCACGTGAGCCTGTCAAGTTGTAGAAGCCCGAGCGCAGCGCGGCGCGGAAAAGATGAGCGTCGTACGCCGCTTTTGTCTCCCAGACCAGGCGGTTCAACTCATTGTCGAATAGCGTGTCCCAGAAGTTCAGGGGGCCACTCCGTTGGCCGTCCTTGCCGTCTCCAAGAATCATATTCTCAAGCCACTGTCGAAGCTCATATAATTTTAGGATGGCTGCGTTTGCAACGCTCTCTGAGAAATTCGCGTCATCGACAGCGTCGCCAGCATCCGCCAGCGCAACCCTTGCAGCGTCAGCGCCGAACTTGTCGACTGTCTCGCGCAGCGTGAGGAAATTGCCAGTGCTCTTGGCCATCTTTTCCCCGTTCAATAATACAAATCCATTGACACGTATACCACGCGGCCAATATTTGGATGGCCACAGAGCAACATGAATATAAAGGAAGAAGGTGAGATGGTTCTGTATGAGGTCCTTGCCTGAGACGCGCAGATCCAAAGGATACCAGTATTGGAATTCGTGGCGCATGGTGTTCAGCACCGGCTGGGAGATATCACTGTCGCTAGGGAGCTTCGCTGTACGCGCCAGTACGAAGTCCCACACTTCGTCCGTCATCTGTTCAGGGCGAACGTTAGCCAAACCGGGCTCCTTCCCGTATATATCCCGGTGGAGATAATGGGCAATAGTGTAGTAGGCCGGGTAGATTGTGCTATCACTAAGGGATTCGACCAGAAACTGGTCATCCCACGGCAACTTGGATCCCAGGCCGTAGGATCGCGCACACGCCCATTGGCCGAGCCAATCGAGTGCTTCTTCGAATCGTCGTTTGGTCTCGGTTGAGAAGGTGTTGAGGCCGTCCTCCCCTTGATTTAGGAGGTGAGCCCGCACCTGAGCGTTCCATTCGCCGTCGCCCCCATTTTCAGCTGTCCCGTAATTGAGATACCATTGGTCCAAGTGCGCGGCTACACACTCGTCTTTCGATCGGCTGATGACGATACCCTCGGGTTCGGCGTAGGGGAAGGCGAGAGCTGAATCCAACAGCTTCTGCTTGACCAAATCCTTGACCTGTTGGACCGGGCGGCCGCTAAATTCTCCATATATCATATTGCCGTAGTAAAAGCCTTCTTTATATGCAATATTTTTAGCTTCGGCGAGCTTCGGGTCTTTAGGTGAGACAATTTTCATCTTCTCGACCAGGGCAGGGGCGGTGAGCTTGCCGTAGTTAGGCGTTTCGATGATAGGAATCACCTCCAACGTTGCCCAGTCCTTCTGTATTCCGTAATAGTCAGCCTTCTTGGCTAGTTCCGTCACCGTAGCATAGTCGTCAGGACTGTCCGAGGGCACACAGGTCACGACGCCAGTTCCCTTGGATGCTTGCGCTGATTCCATAGGCAAAACGCGCACCGACTTGTGAACTGATAATGGGGCATCCAGTAGAGTGCCGATTACATCGGCGCCGGTCAATTCGATAAGCTTCTGGACTTCGCCCCAAACAGCCGAGTAGCCCTGAAATGACAGGTTCCGCGCTGCTCGCTCAGTGCAAACGACATATTCATTATCCGACCCCGTTTTGGCAGAAGCGTCATGGAGCTTGAAGAGTCCATATTTGATCTTGGGGCCGACGAAGCAGCAAGTCTGGCCGTACATGGTTTCCGGGCGGAGGGTTGCGGCCAAGAAGTAGACATTGGCCTCGGTATTAGATGGCAAAACCTTCTGGATTGTGTTCGTGGCCGCGTCAGACCAATCCAGGACCTTCATCTTAATAGCAGTGTAGTCTTGTATGCCCACGCCTTCTCCCTCACTGCGGTCGTGGTCGAGGCACGGCTGACCATCCTTGGGTGAGTATATGGTATACCTTTTCACAAATTCAATGAGCCTTGTGATCGTCGCTAAGCACTTTTAACCAAATAATCGATAATTTCTCACCTTTTCCCAAATTTAATTTTACCGAGCTCTTTTAGGCGGTTCATCTGCCAGCGCACAAACGAATCGTAAAAGGGGTTAGCGTCAGTCGTCACGAAAGAGCGACGCCAGTCGACGCGTAGACCCAGACGAGAGGCGTCGCGTATGCCCGCGGCAGGAAAGACGTGAACCCAATGGTAAGGGTCGGCAAATTTATGGATATCTTCTCGCGGTATGCCTTGTGACAGCATGATCTGAAATTGGTATTTAGCCGCACCCGACTTTGCCACTGCCTTAGTCTTTTTCGACCGAAATTTCGTAACATCAGAGACAGAGGTAGTTCCAGCATCGTTGGAAGTGGTTCCGTCTCCGGCTTTGCGGGTGTCTAAATCGCCTTCATCGTCGTCGGTGTAATGCTCGAAGTTCTGTCCAAACATTTCCACCTCCCTCTCAAGCCTGTCAGCACATGCCTTTATCGCCATGCCCGTGCAATGAAAGCCGAGGGGAAATAAGGCGTTCCTGCCCTGAAGACGCGCGTAGCCTGTTGCAAACTCGACCTTGGAGAGGGTGTATCCATGACCGGCATGGAGCGAGCCATTCATATATGGATAGGCTATAGTAGCGAAGTATTTGGGTTGTTGGACCTGTGAGGCGTCGCCTGCAGTCGGGGCATTGGATTCGAATACTCCGGAGTCGGCCCAGACCTTCTGGTATCTGCGCTCAATTTCGACAAGAGCATCGCGTTTCTGCGTCTTTTCGGGGGTTAGAGGGCAGTAAACGTCGAAAAAGGGGGAAGTTAGTGGCGTACATTTTCAATCTTCAGCATCTTCTGTGCTGCAGCGGCAGCATTGCCGGGATCTGCGGATGCCATCTCTACAGAGGAGAAGCAGGTTGGTTGGTAGGGTTGAGTTGCAGGTGAGATTTTGAAATGGCGTTGACTAACAATATGTAGGCGGGGTATGTTGATATTAAAAGGTGAGTTCGATGCTTTATCGATAAGCCTATTAACATACTACCTGCTAGGTACCTTTTCAATTTGACAAGTCTATGTATTATATAAAATAATTTAAATTCTATTTTAATATTATATACTACCAAGTTTTTGTAATTATGGAAAAGAAATGTAAAAATAAAATTTTTTCAATGAATTTATTTTGTTTTTGTTGAAAATTTTGGGGGGGTTTTATTTAGCCGCATCGCGGGGCAATCATCCCCGCCATTGCCGTCAGGGTCGTCGTGATGGACCCCTCAACAGGCTGCAGCCCGACCAGCCCGACTAGCCCGACGTCTACCTGGGACCTAAGCAAGCAAAAGTTTTCAACCCTGTGACAGCCCTGATTCTTTCGGTTGTTTGCTGCATTGTATGAATATGAATGGGATCTGGTTGCTGGGGAAGTTGTTTACAGTAGGAGCCCCGCTGCATTTGTATGCGCGCCCATTGCAATCCTTCTTCCTTTTCCTTTCCTTTTTCTTCCAGCTTGTTATTTATTAAGTTCCACAAGACGTTTAAAGCCCTATCGAGGGAGAAAGTAGGCTGTAGTGGATGATTGGTACATTGATTTCCTGGTAGTTATCTTGGAGACATACTAGTTGATGCACTATTCCTGCGAAATACAGATACCTCCTAACTCTATTCCCATTAGTATAGTAAGTAGCCTTGCCGTAGCTGACTACGTACCTAATTTTCGTCGGGTGTAGTAGTCGGAATGAATATGTCAAACGTGCGTAGCCTTAGGCGAAGGAGCCCTGGCTTGTCATTGGTATTTACCATCCTATCGGGAGTGAGTAACTGAGGAGCAAAAGCGCCTGGGATTCTCGGCTCTAAGATGTGCTGACTTGAAGTAAGATGAGGGTAAGTAGAGTAGTGCCCTTCCCTCCAAGAAGCGTGACTCGATAGAGGTAAAGTAAACTCTTTAACAGCAAAAATGAAATGTAAAACATTGGCTGCCCCCATCCCGGATCGAACGAGAGACCTTGTCATAATCTTGCGTCTTTTCATACAAGTGACACGCGCTACCACTACGCCATAGGGGCAATTGATTATTCAACCATGTGAAATCTTTCGTGCAAGTTCCATTATAACTCCTGGCGCAAGAATCAGTTGATGCAGGGGTTTTGGCGGTTCGGGCTACCCCCCCAGGTAATTAATTACCCGGGGTATCCTATAGGTGATATAGGTAGTCCATCAATCGCCACCCGCCGAGATTCTAATAGCACTGTCTAGCGATTAAGGTTAGCTGTCAAGTTCGGATCCTATTCCGAGATGTATATACAAAGTACATGTATTCGCAGGGCGTACACAAGTCACATGAGCGGCTATAGATACGGGCGGTGAATGCCGAGGCGCCTATAGGCCGAAATACTGGGCCGCCTCTGGGCGATACCGGCATCATGTAAGTGAATGATAACGCTACGGAGGACAGGAGTAGCTAGTGGGTGGGGAGGGGAGTATAAATGAACCTGGATATGTGACCGTTACACCGAGGACGAATAGAGGTATTCATTCATTCATTCAGATTATTCGTGCAGCGGCGGCGTTTCATATTCGACATGTCATCTGGCAAGGAGTCTTACATCATCGTTGGAGCCGGCGTGTTTGGCGTTTCTACAGCCTATACCCTCATCAAGAAGTACCCAAACGCGTCAGTGACCCTAGTTGACCGGGACGCCTATGATGCCGATACTCGTGTAGCTGCATCATGGGATTGGAACAAGGTAGTGCGGGCTGATTATGACGATATTACCTACTGTGAGCTCGCGCTTGAAGCGCAAGACGTCTTTAAATCCGACCCCTTGTGGAAGCCCTACTTCCACCAGACCGGCCTAGTATGGACATGTCGCGATGATTATGCGAAAAATGTCATCGACAACTATAAGCGTCTCGGACGAAAGGCTGATATCAAGGCTGTCTCCATTGAGGAATTTCGCAAATTGTACAACGGGCTATTCGACGATGCTGATTACACTGGCGTCAAGGAGGTACTGATTAACCCTACTGGTGGTTGGGGGGCTGCCGGAGACTCTTTACGCGCAATCACCCGTGAAGCTCTGAGGTTAGGTGTTAAATATGAGGTAGCCGAAGTTGGGAGCTTACTTCTGGACAAGATTGGACAATGTTCCGGTATCCAAACAACCGAGGGGAAAGCCTTGAAAGCAACACATACTATTATCGCCGCTGGGGCATACACGCCAACACTACTCGAATACAGTGCTGTAAAGAGTGGCCTACCCAATATCGCAGCCGGATTCAGACTTAAAGCAGGTGGTATTACGACAGGGATGGCCAAGTTAGATGACGAATCGCACGCAATATTTGGTTCCATGCCGGTAGCTTTTCAAGGGTATACCACTGAACAAGGTAAGGACGCTCCTCCGGATGCTTCACCTCGTATGCAACCTAATCATGAAAACAGGTCCTTTCATCGGGTCTCTTCCGCCAACGCCAGGAGACCGTGAGATGAAGTGGTGGGGACAGACGATATTTTCAAATACCAGAGAAGTGTTACCTGGTCACTATGTGTCATCTCCACCTCCAAAGCCAGACTACGCCCAGTGGGAGGTGTCTAAGAGGCTTAAGGACGACATCAAGTACGCAAACAAAGTATTCTATGGCAAGAAGACTGCACATTGGAATTTGGAGAAGTATCGTATTTGCTGGTGAGTCCGGTAGCGCCATGGAGATGTGTAGTTCAACTGGCTGACGATTGCACAGGGACGCCTTCACCACCAGCTCAGATTTCATCATCTCGCCACACTCGGCCGCGAAAGGTCTATACATTGCAACCGGCGGATCATTCCACGGCTACAAATTCTTCCCTGTGTTAGGAAAATATGTCGTTCAGATGTTAGAGGGTCAACTATCTCCCCAATTGACGGAGAAATGGGCCTGGGATAGACAACGTCCGGATCCCGCCCTTTCCCCAGACTGGCCCAGGGCAGAAATGAAGGACCTTATGGACCCAGTGAGGACTTCAAAGTTATAATTAAATAGCAATTGGGAATGTTTCGGTTGCACTGTGCGCTGCTAATGGAACTTCATTCGTTCTCATTAACGCCGGTAGCTAGTTATGATCTTCCTGTGTATAACTTGGTGAATACGAGAGGCATTTTAGTATGAGATAGAAATCTTCTACTACAAGACTAGATAGAGGTAGAATAGGTGTTATATCAGAGCCCTGGGGTGTGCCTGTCACATAGCCGTCTAGGGTAAGTTTATACTGTAGAGCTAATTTTGAAGCTTAGCGTTCACAGCAATTGTCGACTACAAAAGATCCGATATTCTGCTTGGCTCGGAGTGAAAGGGAAAAGTGATGTGGCGATTTGTTACACCGCTTGCGATTGGAGGACTAGTCGGAAGGTCCCAGCATAGTCGTGGCCTAGACCCCGGGAATCCTCCCGAAATGCTCTCACGTGGACCGCGTTGGGCAGAAACATCATGACACATTATAGTTAGGCCAGGCTAGGCCCTTCCCTCGATACATACCTAGGTCGAAACACAGAAGCTGAGATTGTAGAACCAAAGCACATACATCCCCGTCTCGGACTCTAACTCCGTTGCCGACGGGCCGGCGACTTTTAACCCGTCCAGAGGCCCGCCTGTGTATCTCTGTTTTAAAAAGCGGCGAGAAATACATGTGTACCTTACTCATTGCACCTGAAGCAGGCTAGGCCCATACGTTGCTAATATCATTTAGTCACAAGCCCCCAGCCACACGAGTTATTTCCGTCTTCTTACCATGTTTTACCGGTATTCGCGTTACATAACATAGTGTTCAGCTACACCAAATCAACCTCATGCATATTAACATATTTTCAACTAGGCGTCATTCATTACATTGCATCTGATGCTAAACAGGCTCACGGTGGCCATTGGCTAATACCGCGTTGTTACAGCCAGCGTGTCTCGAATATCGGGAATTCTCAAGGTTAGGTGCAATAAGTATAGCCTTAATAATATGTTTCATATATGAGGAAAGCCCGTAGAAGGGATGAACCTAATACGAAATATGAGCAGAGGTAATATGTCGTATATGCATACTTTATACCCCAATCCCTGACATGATGTTAGGCCGACGAGGAATGCGTGCTTTTGATCGGTATCACGAAGGTTCTCAATTGTATAGAACATCTAATTAGCCAAGTAATTAACTGTGTTCAATTTTTGCGGGTGAGCCGCGATAATACTCTATAAAGCGCTCCGTCAAATGGTATGCTATCCCCGTTGAAGACCACCGTTGTAGCCATCTTCTTTATCCGCGGAATGACGGAAGATGAAGTTGACAAAGATCATCGGAATACAAAATAACCGGGAGAACGTAACAAGCAGAATACTTCTTGAATGCCAGGTTACTATAGAGAAGTCGCATCCGTCCACACATCTGACAATCTGGAGTGCAAAGACCTATGTCTCATCCCCTATTAAGAGCATGTAGTGCAGCTAGTTTGTCCCTCTTCGGGATCCTCGCAGAAGTTGTTGTCGTTCGTGCACTAGTCATCTATGTTAGTACCTTTACTGCAAACTCGGCTGCGGACTTAATGGGGAAAGGCTAAAACTCACATCGTCAAAAGCACAGCAATCCCAGTCCAGCTCGACGCCTTCATCGTTGGGGTCGCTGTAGTGGCAAGTTCCCCAATCATCCCCTTCCCCTCGAACAGTACAGTACTGTGTGATTATGCCATAGTCAGTCTCATACCATCATCGTGCAGAAACAGAGGATTCTGATTCAGGGGGGTGTTAACGTACTCCGGCTAAGGCATAAGACGCCAGGCCAAGCATGAAGAAAATCTTTGAGGTGTGCATTTTTTTTATTGTATAATGGAGCTAGATGTAGCAAATATTACAAATTTCGGATGTTATAGATCGAATGTCGTGCTTTCGATTGGGGAAAACGTGAGGACACAGTAGCATACTTATACTCAGTTGCCCACACGTTACCAGCTCTCCCCAGTACACCCAAAGACTCAATACCTGGACAATCGACAAATTCTAAGACAACTCTACCGCCTTGTCCGAGACAGTCCAAAAGGGTGCATGGCGATCTTCGGAACGGTTGAGTGTAAGACGAGGCTGTGTCAGCCCTAGTATGGCGGTAATATGATGAACACTCATTATTGCGTAAAGACTCTACACTAACTAGCTAGTGTTTACTACCATATACAAAACGCCTTTTTATTCTGGACGGTGTGACGTGTAGCCGGTTGCACCGCTCTGGGGACCAGCATGCTAGTAAGAATCCTTACACATCATGGCTTGTTTAGGCCCCTTTGATCAATCCACTAATAGGCAGCAGCTATACACTTCCCCGGACGCCTTCTCTAAATAGAAATTCGGAAAACCCCGAGACCGAGATCGTCAAATTATTGAATAAAAAGAGCACGAAAATCCGAGTCAGCATCATGAAACCGAATTAGGACATACGGCACTGACGAAGACATCGGTAGCGGCTCAGTAGCGCGGCGCCGGGTGATGTCTAGTATGTAGCGGGGAGAACGGACCCGAGGACCCCGGGCATCCAAATATTTCGGCGATTTTGTAGTCAAACGCCATATTTGCTCTGCCAAAGATTAAAAAAACGCTGAAATTGAGTGTCCGATCTATAGAGAAATATTTACACATTCCGATATATATATGTAACAGCCTCGAGGAGATCGTGTTCAAAATTCAAAAGAACCGGCACATCTACTTGCGTCCTCTACATGCCGAATATGCGGAAGGGTGGGTAGAGGTGGGATCTCTCATGCTGGGCTTGATAGGGCTGATCGATTCGTATGATCCCACATTATTGATGGGCTTTTGAAATTTACGTAACACTAAATAAGAATTAGTGCAGTTGAATTTATGTACTGTTTATGCAAGGAATACTACCTTGCTCAGAAGCTTGTTTTCGGGTCACCTCTTTAACTCCTTCGGATCGCCGTTCTAATTTCTTAGGATCGGCATCGCACAGCGGACCCAGCGGCTGGGTAACGTAAGTGATCTGCGAAGAAGGCTAACTAAGAAACCATAGCTAGTTACCACTAGAAAGTTTGGATTC